AGCAAGAATGCAGTGCTGAAGTCCACCCAAGGCTCTTCTTACTGCCAACACCTGAAAGACCTTCCTGAATTATCAAAACTTAATTGGCTTAAAGACCCTGGAGTATTAAACTATTCCAAATGATGAGAGAAGCTCTGCTGGGTAGTGCTGGTATCAGTGGGCCTGTCTTGGTGATTAACATACAAAAGCTCTCACCACACAGCCCAATCTCTTCTCACCTAATTGCTACGTGTATCTTGAATTTACCTGTGCAAGGCATAATTAGTAAAGATAAAATACTTTATATAGTTAAACCTCTTTAATAGAATAAAAGAAATCTCAGCTCCCTCACCTTGACTCTAACACAGTAACAGAGGCTCGTGAAAAATGAAAAGCCTTGAAGGATTTGGAATAAGAAACTTGGAGAGACAATCACTAATCTTTTATCTTCCAGACTTCAAGCAGAATCAAGTTCTTCAAAGAAAACCCAATAAAGCCCAGACATTTTCATCATAACAAAATAAATAATTCAGTCATGCTTTAGAGGACTCCAACATTAGGATTGGCTATTTGATATATTTGTGGCTTAGGTGCCTCTAAACTGATTAAAGATAACCTGATAGAAGCTTGCAATGTCAGAACTGCCTTCATTCCTGACAGATATGAATGGATAGTGTAAATAACTATAAATAACCAAAATGGCTGCATTTATGCCTAATGGAGGATTTACAGCCTTCAGAGCTGCCTGGTAGGACTAAGAGTTACAGCTCTGCCTTTATCCTACCACAGCACACAAGGAGAGATCAATCGACATCCTCCCCACAGCAGCTGCTCTGCCAGAACCACCAAGGGCCCTATCCAGAGGAGAAAAGGAACAGGATTCTCCCATGAATAAGAAAATAAACATGCACAGGCAGGTTTGTTGGTGTTGATTTATTATGGTTTTCCTAGAAACCACTGTGAAGCACACATCCCAAAAGCATCTCACATCTCTGTAGCCCCTGCAAGTTTCCCCCAGTAAAGCTTTTATTATTTTCCAGCTGCCATCTGCAGAAGGAAACATGCCACTGCCTCTGAGGGAATAGACCAGGTCTACATTTGCCCCTCCAGGTCATCATTTACCCCTTCAACCTTTCACCAAGGGGGCCCCAACTGCAGCATCCCAGGCAATTTTTCAGTTTGGGCTACTGCACTCCCAACCTTCCCACCATCCACTGCATTCCCAAAGCTCCAGCAGCAGTGCAGCCCCACAGGAGCTATTTGGCAAGTGAGTGGAAGCAAATTCTGCATCCACACAAGCATTAGGGCAGCTCAGTTCGGGGTCAGAATCAGCCCCAGTTTGCGTCTCACGATTCACACCACTGCTGGGGGATGGCAGAGCAGAGCCACTGACACACTCAGCAGCTCTGTGTTGGCACCATGTGGAAAAGTCCCCCCAGGATGGGACTGGCACTAAGAGAAGGGGCTGCAGAGAGGCAGCACCACATCCTGCTGTTCACTTACTTGAGCAATCACTTAAAATACTGAAAGCAGCTCTCTCCAGGAGCGCACTGTGCAGAAGCGGCCCCTCACAGCCAGCTCTCCTGTCCCGCTCTTCTCACTTGATGGCAGGGGAGATTACCAGGAAATCTGACACAAAGAATGGGTGCAGATGCTCCTCCTTCTCTCAGAGGTCCTTCTTTGCTTAATTGTGTCACCATCTTTCCACTTTTTTCAAGTATCTTTTCCCTTGAACAGAGAACTGGTAGGAAGGTACCACAAAAGCTGCAAGTGAGCAGCTGCTAAAGCTTTCATTTTCTGTCATCCACAGAGCTTTGTGGCCAATATGCAGGGCAAGAAATTAAGTGACCATTCAAAAGGAAATTCCCAAGCTTGGGAAGCAGGAGGAATCAGGCTGATAAACATGCACACAAGCCAACCCCATGGAACACAGTTCTTTAGTGAGGGGAAGGGGAGATAAAGAAGAACCACACTGGTATTTTCCTGCTCAATTTCACCTTTCACAAAGTTGAGCCATTCAGATTTAATGTTTAGGAAATCAACAGAATTCATTGAGGGATTTTCTTTTGTTGTCATTGCTTCAATAGGTAAAGACTAGATGGTGGCAGGGCAGAAATTCCCCCATTGAAAAAAGCAAAGATCTGATATCAGAAGAAAAAGAGGGGGAAAGCAAACCAAAGGCAAGGTTCTCACCATTCTCTGAAGCAGCTGAGTTCCATTAACTACTGCTTAGTTTGGATGAGAACATTTAGCAATCCTAAATGTCACATGACAAAAGACATGAGCAGTTCTGAGGTGATGGGGTTCATCCCAGCTTCAGAGCTGAGAACCCCAACCAGGAGGTACCAGCATGGATACATCAAGAGAAAGTGAAAAAACTGCCCACAAAAATAATCCTGGAGTAAGATGTAACTGCAGTCAAGGCAGCCACAATCCATTTTAACACTGTCAAACACAGCAAGTTTCCAAAAGATTAAATCACTACTTAAATCATCTTCATAATTTTAAAAAATGCCTCTGAGATAAGACCAGGAGCTAATTGTACCATTTAAATTTAGTGAAGGGAGGATTTTTTTTGGTTGGGATTTTTCCTTCTTAACTGCAATAAAGAAAAAGCCCAAGGGTCTAAAACTAATAATCTAATAAACTTTGCTAAGTGAACATTGTAACAGATAGGCCTGGATGAGATTTCCTGTAAATGCCAGACAATTTCCCTTGATCTTTATCAGCAGAGATGCTGCTCTAGCTTCAGCAGGAAGAAATTAAATTTGGTGCAAAATAATAACATCTGGATGGGATTCTGCTTGTCAGACTAGCAGTCCCTTTAGATGCCAGGGTAAAAATATTAAAATTAACTCTGAAGGATTTCACATTTGTGTTTTTAATATGAGTGGTTGAGCTGTGTTTCCACACCAACACATTTCCCCTCTCTGGAGAGAGATGCAATTATCCATCCTCTGCACTGGGTCCCCAGACTAGGGGTCTGACCCAAAGCAAAACACACTGGGAGCTCTCTTCCCTGCCAGAGCACATCTCAGAGTTGGCACGGCTTCCAGCTGTCCCATCCCTGCACTCCCAACTCCCAAAGCCACACGGAATCTGTCCCCAGGACCTGCAGGAGATGCTCAGGTGCCACTGGGGTTCCTCTTCCCTGACCACTCCAGCATCCCCCAATAGTTGAGTCCCCTGCACAGCCGGGCCAGGGGCATCCTGCACAATCCTATAGCTGGAACAGCCTCTGGCACTGCAGCCATCAAAATACTCTTAAGCAAGCAGCAATCAAAAGATCAACCTATTTTAAAAAGTGTTCTCCTACAAACTTCCAGACTAATTTTAAAGATAACAAAAGTAAATGGTGTTCAAAGTCTCATGAATCGTCCTTCCAAGACCAAAGCACTTTATACAAGATAATTAAAGTGAGCTCCTCAATGGTTCCAGCTAGGAATTCTTCCTCTGCAATGGGATTGCAAACGATTTTAGTCACTTTAAAGCCTTTTTAATAAGCAGAAGTGGTCAGAAACTGTTCAATTAAATGCTTTTCTTCCACACCACCAAGAATGGCAATTCCACATACCAGGGCTTCTCAGAATAACTTCAGCTTCAAAGCCCCTGCACAGGTCCCTGGGCCAGGGTGGAAGTAACAGTTTAAAAAAAAAAAAAAAAAAAAAACGGGGCAGGATAATTAACTCTAAGCAAAGGATTCAACTCTCTCCAGGAGTGGCAGAAAGTCCAGAGCCAGAGCACCCAAATGCAGTGCACAACCTGCAGCTCCACAGGGTGTCATTCCCACACACAATAAAAACTAATGCTGCAGTTTCTGTCAAATGGGAAGGAGGGAGGCAGGCAGTTTGTATTCCACCCAGGTTATTCACCATTTCTGAAGCTGGTCCACATTTCCAATGCCTAGGAAACCAATCTTGCATTAGTTTTACTCCATTCTGGTTATTAGAATTGGATCTTAATGGTAACTGCAGTAAGAATTACTGGGGGGAAAAAAATGTGCTGTTATCTCCTCAGCAATTCATTTGATCTTACATTGAGAAAAACAACATATTAAACTTCATCAGTCAGTTGTGGCCCAGAACAGAGCTCTGCCCTGATCTCACAGGCTTCAGCAGGTCTTGGGTCTTGCTATTAGTGAGGCATAAACAAAAATAAATCAATTATTCTGCAAAAATATCATCAAGAAGGAAAAAAACGCTTGGTTGCCCATGACTTCTTTTTTAAATGCAAGCAAAAACACCATTAATACAGAATGATGGAACCTCAATAGGACAGCACTCAACAAATAAGCAATCATTTCACTGCACATTAACCAAAAGGCCCTAAAAAATAATTGCAGATTTAAGTGGCACAAACCAGTGTGTATCAACACTAAAAAAAAAAAAAAATTAAAGATCCATTTTACAAAAAAACCCAAGCAAGCAAACAAACAAAACCATCATATTATCATTAGAAAGAGAGCTGCCCCAGACAGCAGAGCATAGGTTTACCAAGCACTCAAATATCCCATGGGGCACATTTGGGAACCAGCAGCCTCTGCCACCTTTCCCACAGAATACCCAACTTTGTTGTGCAGTGGATAACAATAACACACACAGCTGAGACAGATCTCACCAAGCATTACACTGAGGTGACAACCAGATCACCTCACTGCAGGCTGTATTTGGGGACAGACAGAGTCAGACAAGACAATACTTCCACAGAGATTTCAGTTCTTGGAAAGGTGGGATTTTGTGGGTTTTTTTGTTTTTTTTTAATTTGCACCTCAAGAAGTTTAGCCTTTAAACTTCCATTCATTCTTACAGCAGCAAGAATATTTAGGACAAGCCCTGCAGAGCAACCATGCAGCAAACCAGGTATATTGCTAACCATAAACCAGCATATTTAATATCTACAAACATAAAAACAAGCAAATAGAAAGCTTCCAGCCACTTGCACTTCCAGTTGCCCAGTGCTGAGGAAGAGGAGCAGAAATGCTGCCTCCTCCTGCAGGTGTGTGGAGCACCCCCAGGACTCACCTTGGAAGACAGCAGCGTTCTGGATGACCAGGAATTTCAGCTCCATGCTGGCAGCCTGCAGCAGCTGCTCCATGTGCAGGCGGGCAGCTGCCTGGTACTTCTCCTCCATCCTCCTGGAGCAGCACGTGGAGCCCTTTGGGACACACACCTGCAGATCAGTCCCTGCAGAGGCACAGGAGTAGAAGATAATTCACATTAGGAGGTGGAATTAGGAGAGGAAACCAACTCCAAGCATCAGCGTGGCTACAACTACTGTTTGGGCAAATTGATGGCATTTCTGGAATTTGTCCTGAGCAAGCAGCTTGGCCAAAGGAAAGGGTGGGTAAGGCAGAGCCCAGATTGCTGAGCAGTGGCCCCCTGTGCCTGCTCCAGCTCCCACACACCCCAAGCACTGGTGAGCCAGGGCTGAGCAGTGATCCCACCCTGCTGTCCCCTGTCTGCCCACAGCAGTGAGGAGTCAGCGAGAGCAGGAAAGGTGGAGTGGGAGGTGGAAAACAGAGACAGGATTTGAGGCTGTGGATTTACGGTGAATAGAGCAATGCATGGAGTACATCAAGGAGGATATGCTTGTGATTTGCATAAAGACTTGAAACTAATTTGGAAGTAACAGTGCTATTTGCCTGCAATTGCTACCCTTTTGTATCCCCAGCAACAACAGTAATAGCAGAAGGACACAACTATAATGATTTACTTGGCTTTTTAGTGCCAGCTTTTAAATTGTGCAACCAAATGTCCCCATGTCATCCTTCCTTTGCAACAGGCAAAAAAGCACAACGCCCATTGCTTCACTCATGGCTGTCCCACTGCAGAGGGCCAGATCCTGAGGGATGCTCTGAGCACTGCACAAGGCAAGAGCCTCTTCTGCAGCACCTTCACTCATTCACCAGGATGGGACAAAAGCCAGGAGACAAGGGCCAGAGAGACACCACTTGCTCTGGCATCTCCAGCACTGCTCAGTGATACTAAACTTCTTTTTTTGACATTCCCAAAGCATTTATTCATGGAGAAAGTAGACAACTTCAAGAGAAGTGTTGTTAGCTAAAAATAATAAAATCTGGGGAAGAAAACAGAAATCTTTCCAGGCTCAGACAAGAGAAGATGAAACAGAAGAGCTGGAAGTAGCAGTAGTAAAAGGCCCTATCTTCCATCAACTTTTAAGAGCAAACTGAGGCCCCAAACACACAAGCAGAGCAACAAGCTCTTATCAAAGAAAATAGCTCTCCTTATGCAAAACACATCTAATCCGATGCTGCTCTTAGAAACTCAAACAGCAAAAACCAGCTCCATTAAAAATGGCTCTCCAGGGTCAAAGAACAGCCAGCACCCACATTTCACTGTCTGCCACCCAAACTGCATCATGCCCAAAGCAAAAGCAGTTCCCTGCTAGGTTCAGCTCTGCCAGGAACCTGGATTGGGAAGCAGTCCCCAAGCCAGTGACCAACAGCCCTGACAGAGTGAAGGCTCCTCACACCTCTCACTCTGCCTTCCTGCTTGTTATAGAGGGTTTTTCCTCAGTAAAAGCTACTTTGGTAATTTACATCTTTGCTCTGGAAGGATTATGCTTCCTTTCAGGTTCCTGTCTTCTCTCCTTCACAAGAGTCTTTTACCACATCCACTCTCTCCCTAATTACTAGAAAGTGTCAAAAGTCACTTTTGCAAGTGTAGTCTAGAAGAACAGGATTAATATTAATGTCAGTTCAATCGTGTGCCTCCTGAAGAAGAGTCATGCACAGTGCCAAGGGAAAACCAGCTGTCAGGGCTCAGGAGCAGCGACAGCAGAAATCCTCCTCCCTCCAGCCTTATCCCTTCCCTGGCACAGCATGGGAAAAGGAACATGAAACACTCCATCTACAACATGCAATGCATGTGGGGAAAGGAGATTTAACCAGTGCAGGTCCTGCTGTTGCTGCAAAAAACCTCATGCAAAGAGGGAGAAAGGGTCCACACCCCTATCCTGGCTCCATCACTCCCCACTGCCTCAGTTTCCCCTTCTGCAAAGCAGGATGCCCAGCACAAGTCCCTTCCTCAAGCCCTCTGGCACAGAGCCAGCAACACCAATGCCTCAAGCCTGAGCCTCAGTGATTTGTGAACTCACCACTCCAGAGGAGCACAGCGACAGGTATTTCATGCATTGAAAAAATAAAAGGGACCATAAAACCACGTAACAGCAAGACACTGCATTAATGAGAGAAGCGGTTGTATAACAGCAAGTTAAAGAGGTTTTTTAAAGTCAAACCCAACTCAATTTACACCACGAAAAGGCTTAGCATGGTCTCTTTAACACTACAGTACGCCCATAAATTTCTTTTTAATACAAAGCTTATTTCCTCCTACATTTATTATATTAGGACACATTTCAAATTATAAAGTAAAAATCCTTCCATGATTAATGGAAATACCAATATAGAAAATCTGAGAGTTGGCAATTAAGAGGTCTCTGCAAGTTAAAGCCAAGGATAGGAAGCAGCAAGGTCATTTACTCACATCCTATCCTTCTTTTTAGCAATTAAGCCAACTTCTCCCTTTAAATGCATCTTTATTTTTGTGCAGTAAAAAGACAGACACATGCTGTATCAGAGCAATCACAGAGGAGGAGGAAAAAGCCTGGGAATTAACTCAGCTTAAAATGTTTTGCAGAGACAGCCAACTAACACGGCAAGAAACGTCACGGTAAACACAACAGGACAACACAGGCAGGGCAGGCTCTTGGAAGGTACCAGGGACAAGCTTCTTCTTGGCACAGTGCTGCTACAGAGGGACAGGGAATGGGGCCTGACTCCCATCTGCCAGCTCTTTTCTGTGTATGGCTTTCCCAGATGGCGAGCTGGCTCCAACACTCCATCTCCAAATCCCCCAGGAGCAGCAGGGATGGGAGGTTTCAATGCCACTCCCCCAGGAGCTGCTGACCCCAGCCCCAGCAGACATAGATGAAACAGAGACAAAGCTTTTGACCTGCAGATGTATTTGGGGTTTACTCGTGGCATTGCTTGAAGGAGCCCTTCTGCACTCGAGCTGCAGCCCCCCAGGAGCGCCAAGGCTGCGCAGACCACGCGCGAAGGATGCGGAGACACGAACGCCTGGGAACGCGCAGCAAGCCCACGGACCAGACACCGGCAGTACATGAATTAGGGTGCCACACGTTTCTGACTCCGAAAAAATGCACGGGAAAAGGTCCTGTGAGTCATCAAATCCTACCTCAGCCTCCCAATCCTCCCCCTCTCAGCGTTTTATCTAACACAAACACCTCCAGCGATACTCCGGCTTGTGAGATAGCGAAGCCCATTCCGCTGCCTAATGGCCCTTCACTGTTAAGACCGTTTTTATCTCCCAACCTACACAACCCCTTTTTCTTAAAGTTTCAAGTCATTACACCTTGTAATGCCAGTCTCAGCCCTTGCAAACAACCTTCTTCTTTCGCTATAAATCACTACAAACTCATTTTCAGGAAGAAAGTGTCCCTCAAATTACTGCAACCGTTTTATTAAATTGCATTTGGATGCTCACATACCAATCGCGGCAAGATTAGTGAGATGATGAGATGCCAAGCAGAGCAGCCTGACCCTCTGACACCCAACTCCCACGGCTGAGAAGGCACTGGCTGCAGCCCCTTCCATGGGTGCAGGAACGCCAGGCACCATCAGAACTGTGCCATTTATGCCATCTTGGGGAACAGCAGTGTAAATGCTCCAGCAGTTTTGCATATGCTCCCAGCAGAAATAAACTCTAAAGCTGCGCTAATTTCAGTAGCACCCTGCCTCTTCCTCCTCCCGACAGGGAATTTTTACTGACGGTCGGGTAGCAGTGAATTTAAACCATTACATTTGACTTTGATGTACAATTATTCCCGCCGATAGGTGGTTAGCACAGCAGAAGTGAAAACCATTTCAGTGAATTAAATGTCAAAAATAAAAACCCTCAAGATCATCTGTGGAGAGTTGTGGACTCCTTCACAAGGCTGAAGGATTTTCCTTTGATTTTAAGCATCCCAGGATAGCTTCAACCCTGTCATCAGGTACAGGCAGGCAAGCTGTGCACACTGAGGCACACAAGCCTTCCCACCCAGATACAATGGCAGCTTAAATCAGATTAACATTCCCCCCAAATTTACCCCAGGCATTGCCAAAATAAGAACCTGTCCCTGCTTAGTGCCACATTCCTGCAGCCTCCTCCCCATGTGAGGGGGCTCTGCTACTCCATGCATTGGCACCTTCGCCTTCTCCAGTCTGGAAGTGTCAGAGGAGTTCCTCCCACCCTCTTAACTCACCAATTTGGTACTATTACCCACAAGAAATATGCTGTTTTGGGTCAGTTTTCCTCCTCCAATTGTTTTACAACCAGCATCATGCTTTAAATAGATAAAAGCAGTGACTCAACATTTAAATATAGTGGATTTTCATCCAGTTTTTTCAATACTTTTTATTAAGAACCTTTTAAATTATGTGATTTAGGGGGTTGTACATCTGTCAGTGCCTTTTAATGCTCAGCATCTAGGGGGAGGAAAAGGAAATGCAACTGTTTAGAACCCAGATTTAATGCTGATCTTTATAAACCTAATTAAAGAGATATAAATTATAAACCAACTCATTCAGTAGGTGATTTAAATTGGAACAGTATGCACAGTACATGGGATATTTATTAGTGCTTAATTATCCTTTATTTTCTATTCCATCTTGTGTTTCACAAGATCATCTGACTCTGGATTCCTCCCCTAGTCTTACAATGTTGGCCAAATGATTCTCATGCAAATCTAACACCCTATAAAAACACATCCTTTAAAAGAAGACATTACAGTGAAAAATAGGTTTTACAAAGTAAAAGTTTCCTCCTAACAAATGTATAAACACTGTCATCAAGGGAGTTAACTTTGGGCACCCACTCCCCACACAGATTTGTTACAGTCACATGCACACATCCCACAACCATTCCAAAGACCAGGAAGAACACTGTTCAGGATGTTGTTAAAGTTAACCCCTGGGAAAAAAAAAATAAAATTAATGATCTCACTATAAAACCACTGCCTGGGGAGGTTACTAAATTTTAGGGTTCTGCTCCTGCTCTCTTAACTATCAAGAGAGCAACTTGCAGGCCTGAAATAATTAAGAACAGAAAACTCAATTATCTAGTAAACTAAGCTTTTAAACCACCGTGCTAAGCTAAATGGAAAGGCTGCACAGGGAGGAGCATCATTAGTCCCACTCAGGAAAAACAGAATAAAAGAGCAGGAGTACAAAGGGAACCAGCTCATGAGCAAAGGCACATTGACTTCAGCGGGAAGAGCTGGGATTTTTAATTTTTAAACTGTACATTGGCACATGCCAGCTGCTAAAAAAAAAAAAAGAGAAGAAAGCTTGACATGCTCAGCCAGCCGCTTGTAAAGCATTACACCTCAACTCCAAAAGGTTAATCTCCTATTTTCTTAGGGCAAATCTATATCTGCTTCCATCAAAGAAAATGAACAAAAAGCTGGAAATAACACTTTGCTGTGGTAGAAGGAAAGCAGACCTGCCAGCAGATATTTCTGTCAAGATCAATATTCCTCAGTTTTCCACTGCTCCAGAGCAGAGGCACCCATCCCCTGTCCCCTTCCTGCCAAGGCACCAGCTCACCCCTTCCCCTCTACCCACAGGCACCAGCCCAATTACCTGTCACCACCAATACAGAGAAACCCAAATGGCAGAGAGGAGAGAAAAACAGAGCAGGAGAAATGGAAATTCAAGCTGCTGTTTATAGATAGGAGAAATTATGCAGAGAAAAGACAAATGGAAGAAGAAAACCAAGACAGGCAACATAGCAAAAAGAGAATTTAGTTATTAGTGAGCATGAATCTACTCCAGCACAGAAGCACAGGCTGGCTCAGGAGCTGGCATTCAGTCTCATCTTCATCAAAACCCAGCAAAACCACTCTCCCACCACCCTGCCCTCACTCTCTCCAGCACAAGAGCTCTGATCCAGGTCCAGCTGAGATGAATAGCCATGAATTGCATCCCCCCATCTCTCGAACAGTCAGCACAGCTGAGAGCAGTTAGGCTTTGCTGTTCCCCACCTCTAAGCAGACCAAAACATGCTCCAGAGTGACAAAAACCTGGTCCCCAGACTGCAGGACCAGAGGAGGGCAAGCTTCTCACTGCCTGGTGCACGCCTGCAGCTACTCCCAGAACATCAATACTGCTCACAAAACAGCATGACACTTCCCTCACATTTAACAGAAGTGCCTTTTTTTGGGTTTTTTTTAAATTAGAAGTGTGGTCTCTGTCTGCTTCAGAGCTCTCCTACGGAGCTTGCTGTGCCAATGTCCCTCCAGCCCACGCACCGCTGATGCGGTAAAACTGAGCTGTGGGACATTTCTCCTGAGGGTGTTGCAACTCAGCAGCATTCCCACTACTTACTCCTTCAGCACAACTGCTCATAATGCAAAATGGGGATTCCAGAAACAACTGTGTCAAAAAAAAAAAAATCCACATTTTAAATAAGTTAACTTCAGTTTCTCCAGAGTGGTATGATCCATTGGGAAAGGTTCTCAGAATTGACTCCATGGTGATTTGAGGCTGGGAACTCCAAAACTTTTTTTAATTGACAGATGTATGAAAGGAAGGAAAGTAACAAACAGATGCCTGGAAAATAGTCCTTGAGTGATGTTCCCCTATTACAGAGATTTATGCAGCTGCTACTAGGAGAAGCAAGTGCTCTGAAGTGTAATTACCACACAGAGTCATGCAAGATGGGCCAGATCCAAGGTATAAGCAAGCAGTCATTGCTTTAATTATGATCAAGTTTATGTACTTAGGCAAATGTGAAATCCACTTTCGATTTGATATGTGGGAACTTTATCATCGTAACAAGCTGCAAGCATTCACTTGAAACACCAGCCCTGTTAGGAGGTATTGATCCAGCTGCCCAGAGGCTCCGCACAGAGGCAGAGGGCTCCTTATTCCTCCTGGCTCTCAGGGGTGCAGCTGGGGCTCACAGGGGAGTGAGAATGTAACTGAGGAACCCCAGCAACCTGAACCCTGCTGGGATAGGAGCATACCAGGGCAAAAACACCCACTGCAATCACAGCCAGGCCAGGCGGGAGGATGCTGCTGCTTTCTGGGGAAGGACGGATCACACTGCAGCATGGCAACCCCTCAATACAATGGGAGTCATTCTCCAGGAACCTGCCCACCCCTCCATCACCTCCCTGGAGTGTGCAAAAACATACTCAGCAAAGTTACTTAGGAATCAAAGCAAGAAGCTCACTGGCTTTCAAAGAAACAACTTCCTTCTGACAAACGGAATTTGTCAATTCAGTGGTGATAAGAGCAGCTCTTTCCTGCAACTCCTCATGCAAACATTTCACGGGAAAGTATCTCCAGTGCCACTTCCTTACTGACCAGGAGACTATGGCTCTCTGGGACAGGGAGAGAAGAGATGCTGTTCCGGCAGCTACTCTGAAAGGAGCATTAAGTGTTGAAATTCATATGAGAAGAGAACATAAGGACAGGTAGGGATAGGAAAGGTACGCTCTCACCAGGACTTACATCTGAACGCCCCTCATATCTCTCACAGCTCTTCATAAGATTAGGCATTGCTACAGTCCCACAGACCAAAAGACTTGGGATTGGCATCAGCAGCCACACCACCTCACAGCCCAAGCTCTGGGCACCCCATTTGTCCCCTCCCTGCCTCTCCTGCAGCAGATCACTGCTGAGGGAACTCCTGTGTGACACCGAATGCAAGAAACGTAACTCAACACATCGTTATTAAAAGCAGCCACCGCTGGCGATGATCTCATTGCACCTCCCCTGCCTGTTATCTCTTCCTTTTCATACTTTGATCACAAGCTTTTCAGGGCAGGCGTTCTCGGCTGCGTATCGAACCCAACTCAAGAGCAGCGAGCTCTCCAGGCAGCTCCTGGACGCGGCCATCACAGCGCTCCGCTTGTGTACACACACTGCACAGCCATCCACCTGGAGCAGCCGACACCCCGGCTCCCAGAAAGCTCCGAAGCACCTTTAAAAGGCGAGGAATTCAAGTATTTCCCTTACATTTTAAACCAGGAATGAGGCATGTATACAGAAAGCAGCCTCGCAGGGGGTAGTGGTGAGGTTTGGTGCGGTACCACCCCGGCAGTCACCTGTAATAGGAACTGCGGAGCAGAATAACACCTCTCCCAGACCTGTCAGGCTCGCACCCCGCACGGTACCCGCACAGCCCGGGGAGAGCCGCGCTGCCTCCTTCCAGCCCCATGCTCTGGAGCTGCGGCAGACCCGGGCTCGGGCTGGGATGAGGGTTTGGATGCTGTCGGAGCAGCCCGGCAGGGCGGGACTGCCTCGGACCCGGGCACACCTCGGCTCTGCCGGACCCGGGACCGGCAGAGACGTGATGGGTGCGCGGAGCCTCCGCTCGCCGCCGGGGACACCGCGAACTCCCGGGGACCTCGCACCGGACCCCCGACGGCGGCAGGCGAGCACGGGGCGGGCCGGTCCCTCCGGCAGCGCCGCGGCTCTACCCGACAGCTCGAGCTCCCCTCGGCCACGGGGGTGAAAACCCCCCGAACAAATCGAGCTAAATGAAGACCCGCTCTCCCATTCGCGGGTTCCCATTACCGCGAAGTAATCACCGGCTCCGTGTCATCCCCACATCCGACAAGCCGAGCCCGGCGGCCGCCGGCACCGAGCGGCAGGCAGCCCCCGCCGCCGGGGGAGGGCAGCTCCCCGCGGGAGAGCGGGCAGCCCGCACCCGGCTCCGCAGCGTCCCGCAGCCGCACAGCGACCCGCGGCCCCGGCTCCAGGCGCTGCAGCCGCTTCGCCCCCCACCCGAACGGCCCCGGGCGAACCCCGGCGAGAATACGACGGCCGGCCGGACACCACGGGGCGGGCGCTCTCACCTGGCACGGGGCTCTCGGGCACCCACTTGGCTCCGGGCTGCAGCACCTGGAAGGCGGCGCGGACCGGGCGGCAGGCGGCTTCTCCCGCCGGCTGCGCGGCCCCCGGGGCACCGAGCAGCACGGCCGCCAGCAGCGGCAGCAACAGCAGCACTCCGCCGCTCCCCGACATCCTGCCGGGCCAGCGGGGCACTCCTCTAGGCGCTGCCAGCGGGCATGCCAGCAATGTCGGGACGCGCCGGGACCGGGAGCAGCGGAACGGAGCGGAGCTCAGCCCCGCGCCTCGCGCGGCGCTCCGGGGCCGCCAGTCCCGGCCCCGCGCGCGCCGCCCGCCCCCCGCGCGCCACGCCCGCCCCGCCCCGCTCCGCACCTGTGCGCGCCCTCCCGCGCGACACCGGCACCGACCCTGATCCCGGCACCGGCACCCGCACCGACCCTGACCCTGATCCCGGCACGGACACTGATCCCGGCACCAACCCCGATCCCGGCCCGGCCAGCCGCGGGCTCGCTGCGCTCGGAGCGCTGCTCCCGGTGCCCTCTCGCCTGCGCGGCGCAGACCCTGCGTAGCCCCAGGAGCGCGGCTGGCGCGGGATGCGCGGTGCCTGGTTCGCACGGGTGGCGTGAGTTCACAGTGTGCACCGAGAGTGACAGAGCGTCTCTTAAGGCCTTGCCAGCCGGGGCTGCAAGGGAGGGCGAAGTTCCACACACTGCGCTAGACCCTTCCCGAAAGGCTGAGGGACAGAGTGAAACTCACCTGGAAACTCCGTGAGGGGGGAGTGGTGCTGAGTGCCGGGCTGTAAGCATCACTGAGCCCTCCTGGGGCAGCGCTGGAGTCTGGGTAGCCCAGTCTGCAGAATGCCCAGGAGTGCCACGGCTCTGGGGGGCTGCTGGGTGTGCACAGGGTAAATCACCAGAGGAGCTACCCTGGAAACAGGCAGCTCTGCATGAGCAGGATGTGTTCCTCCAGCAAGACCATTTCTGCACCACTTTCCAGATGCAGTTTTGGGAATGCCTCTCTCGTTGAGCTGAAGGTCCCCCAGGGTCTCACAGGCCTGGTCGATCCGGTGTACCTCAGCTGAAAGGACATTCCAGCTCCATCTCACCGGCAAAAGACCCTAAATACCACCATTGCACCCTCAGCTGGAAGGGGCCCACGCTGCTCATCACTCAGCAAGCAGCTGTACAAAGTGGGAAGCAAGAAGGTGGGGTGAGGAAAGGCTCTATTTAAAACAGCAAGGGTCGTGTATGAAAAACTGCCAAAATAGTGATTGCCCAGGCAGTCTCCTCACTGCTCGCCCCCAGCCTGCACCATGCACAGAAAAACAATGACAGAGCAAGTGCAAGCAGAAGAACAGAAGAAAAATATATTTAACATTTCCAGTGCAAATGCAGGATCAAATTATTGCTAATGGCTCGCTACCAGCTCTTTTTCACTCTGAAATTTTGAACAGGGGTGAAAAATGGAAGTCCAAACTGTGTATTTGTTCTAGGAAAATGCCTGCCAGGGAGAGATTGTTAAAATATATTATGGATATGCGTCTAATAAGCTGGAATGTGCAACACGTCTCCTTGGTTAATGGATTGTCGGAGCCTGTTGCTGTCCACAGACTGCACTATTTATTATCCCTTTATTGTTTCTAGTAAGCATGACTGACAAAACTCCCATTAACCAGGCAGCAAAAAGTCCTGCTTTGTAGGAATTCGGAGAAATCCAGAAATTTCATTTTGTCCAGAGGTGCAGGTGCTCCACGATGCAAATTGTGCCTGATTTCAGCAGAGCAGAGGGCGGGCGTGTGCTCGGTGATACGGATGAGGAGCCATCCTTTACCCATTTTCATTTCTCCTGGCACCCTACATGGAATACCAGCTCACAGGCTGAGGTGATGGGAGCCACAGCACACCAGGTAGCTGCCACACCTCTTCTGCATCTCCTTCATTGATTTGGTGATGGATTTGTTATGTTTATGCAACAGTTTCGGGTACAGCATTGTGCTAGGTCAGGAATCAATTGGACTGAATTGCAGAACACAAAGGCTGGTATTTGAAGCACTACTTTATATACAATATTGCAATCTATATTATGTTTATGGCCTGAATTACAGTTGTCTAAAAGGCATTCAAGCATCTCCTGTGCTCATCTTCAAACCTGCTGTGTGTATTTCATTTAGGAGACTTGTGCTGCTCCAGGTAAGTACACAGATACTGTCAAGCATGCCATTAGAGCAAAGAATTACACCCAGTGCCAAATAGGTGCCATTTAGGTATCTCTGCTCAGATGAGGGAGTGCTTTAGGATTTCAAACAAATTAGAAAACAACATTACTGCTCTTTACTGGATCTGGCTTCACAGTGGGATCTGACATTATCTCAACAATGACTCCCTGCGAAAATAAAGTGTATTTATCAACAAGGAGATGTGTCAAAAGCAAGTTAAAGCTTCTAGAAACATGTAACAAAACCAAATGGCAACCCTTTCTTTCAGTCATTCTTCTGAGCTGTACCCAAAGTCTGCTGGCAGGAAGAAAAAGAACTCACATTTTAACTGGAAACTTTCCCTAATGGAAATAATTTTCCCCAGTTTTCACTCTAGCATTACTGAGTTTTCTTGAGGTAATAAAGTCTAGGATGCAGCCAAATGGAAATAAGGGGTGAATCCCATTCCATCCAAGGACCAACAATATTTTCATGTCCTGTGGCACCTCCAGCCCCAAGCCCAAAGGATGCTCTCCCATTCTGTGTCTGCAGAAGCATTCCCAAGGTGACAATTGCAGACCCTCTGACTTCCATCAGAACTGCAACATCAGCCCCATGAAAATCTGAAGCTATTTTCCTGAGCACAGGCACATCCATATGGCTTGTCCTTTTAATGGGAGGGTAGCAAATGCAGGCTTGTCCTGGAGGAGAAAGCAGAAGACTTGCTTCAAAGTCACTGGGTTAGTTGTCTGCCAGCAGATGTAGTAAGAGCCAAGTCATTGTCTCATATCCAGGATGATAATTTCCCTTGTTACAACTGCTCACACCATAAAAAATTCACTTAATCATCTACCTGCCTCAAGCCTGTGAGTAATGAGAGGCAGGATCATGTGTAGCTGATTTTATCAAATGCTCTCATGATGTTCTCCACTGGGAAAACCCTGAATCAATTAAAACACCAAGGAGAGATGTAGGAGAGGGATTCGTACTCCCCAGTAGAGGCTCACCAGGTTATAAACACATTTCACTTACTCTGTGGATGGGATGGATGAGCTCCATGGGGACAAGGTCAGCTGAGCCATGCCCATAACAGAGGAAATCACCATGGGGCAAGGGAGAAAAGAAAATCCTGGAGCATCTGTTGCCACATCTGCGTGGTTTTGGCACATACCTGGCAGTCTACATGGGCGTGTTTGGCCTGGATTTCTCATCCCTGCTGTGCTCCTGTTGTGCTGTCTGCAGCACAGCTGCATGGCTTGGGCCCCGTAGGTCCTGCTGGAACCAGGAGCTGCAGGCAGTGACGTCTTCTCCCTCTCAAAATGACCCTTCCCATCTTGTTCTGCACCCTGCAGAAGCAGCACTTTCAGGTTTTCATAACCATTTGTGGAGGAGGAGAAGGGAGAACCTCTTCACTATATAACAGTACTTGCACATAGCCTGATGGAAAAAAGAAAAGCGCATTTGCCATGGGGCACTGGGAGAAATGATGGATTGCCAGGTAGCAGACATCCCTCCCCACTTTGGCAGGATATTGTATGCTGTGTGCCATACAGGAATGCTGATAGATCCATAAAGCATTAGCCTTTTCCTCACCCTAAAAAGCAGTGGCTGATAAATCACTCGCTCTCTGGAGTTTGTTGGGAGCAGATCACACAGCAGAAGCAGTGAAGCCTTCAGAGAGATACATCACTTAAAGACACTGCAGATGCCAATAGGGCTGTACATCAAGAATGCACAGACAAATCACTCTCCCTGTCCAAAATGAGATACTTCAAGCCTAGAACTTTTTTCCAAGTAAGTACTGGTTTCAGTCACACATCAGAAATGTCTCCCAGAGTCTTGGAAAATCTCTGAGCTCCAGTCCTAGAGATCTCCTCTTTTTTTACAGAGGGTTTGGTAAGTCTTCTCTCCTGATAAAGGACACAAAATTGCAGAATATTTCATGGGATAAAATCCCATCCAGATCCAAACTTTTCCAAAAGAACTCTTAACTGTGGATGAGGCACAGGTTTGCAGGGGGAAGCTGTCTGTATAGCTGACCATGCAGTCACCTGAAGGATTTTGCATCTTTTGTAAAATTAAAAGTGCACAGACACAGTTGGTGTGGCTCAAAAGCTCCTCCACACACCCTCCATCTCTGGAGAACCCAAAACAGAGCATAAAAGGATGAGACACACAGTGTGCTGCAGTTAGGGGCACACGGGTGGTGGGATGCAGCCTTCAGGGAGGAAGGATCTCATAGCACTCCTCACCACTGCCCAAGCTGCAGCACCCCTCTCTTCCCCAGCACCCCTCTCTTCCCCAGCACCCCTCTCTTCCCCAGCACCCAGTGAGAGGGGCTGAACACTGGCAAAGCTCCTGAGTACACGAGGATCACTTGAGAGCCAGCTCTGCAGAGGGATTCAAACAGAAGGGACAGGAGAAAACCATTCACCATGCACTGCTGCCTCTGCTGGGAGCACGGGGCAGGCATTTCTCACACTGATATTTTCATTTATCATCTCCTGGTGATTAATCAACAGAAGAGACATCGCCAGGAGCCAGCCCTGAAGGGACCAGCCCAGAGCATTCACCTATGGAAATAAAGTGCTGCCAAAAACTTCCAGCCAGGGCTGCCACACCACGGGCACACCCCCTCACACAGGGGGCTGGGATGTACAACCACAGAGCTGTGGATCAGCTCCACACAGTGGGAGCAGCCCAACAGCTTCAGAGGAGGCACAGGGGGCACTCTGGATACCACTCCAGGGAGATGCAGCATTCCCACTCCCCTGCAAGGCTCACCAGCACAGCACAAGCTCTGGAGCTGCTGGAGCAGAGGCGATGTGGGGCACAGGGTCAGAGGGCAGAGCCACGCTGGACCTCTGCAGCCCAGGCAGCCCCAGGTGAGAGCTGTGGGGCTGCACACACTGGCAAAGTCCCACTGTACAATGAGGAGAGCACACAGCTCTGAGATGGGATTTACAGCAGAACCAATGGA